ACATATCTTTTCTTTATTGGAGCGGCGTTTACCAGACTGCCGAAGGCAGTAATTTAGAGACCATTTGTTGTTGTTATCGTTCCCTTGATTTTGTATAGATCGTATGAGGTGCATTTAAAATCTTTATCAAGCATGAAGTAGAAAAATAAGGAAATATCACGAAAGTATTCTTTCTCGTCATGAAATTAGGGGTGTACGAATGTCAAGCTTTATTTACACAAGTTCAAAATATCCGCTATCATCAGCAACCGACATAATACCGACAGATGGACACAAATAAAATTGCTTATTGAGACTACAACTTACGTCGTCGCTGGGTTCTCATATGGCTGGAATTGGTCTTGGTATTTTCGTTGTTTTATGTTTAATAATCAGCCAGGATAAGTAAGATGCAAGCACTGTGCTTGAAAGAAACTGTTACTAACGAAAAGTGCAAAACTTTGTGCAGGAGACTATCAATTTCCTGAGGCTTTGAGGATATTTGTGATTGCTTCACATGGTCTGCGTTATAATTATAGCTATCGTCATTAATTTTTGTCCTTCGTCATTTTTGTGTTCGTTTTATAGTCACGAACAATCACTCCAAACTTTAACAATGATTTTGATTTCAAAAATTTATAACCAAGTATATTCGTCATCCCACAGGCCACCAGGAAAGATTTAGGAAGCAGAACGGTACTGCAGTTTAGCGTCTCCGTGCCCCTGCTCTAAGTCATGTAATAACCGTCGTAACGTCTCAACCAGAAATCGCAAACAGCACATGGTGAGCGGGCCTGCGTGGTGCTCGTCCAAGTGACCATCATTGACATAATGCACTGCGTCCGTGTCATTAGTCACCTTTCGTTGGAAGACGTATCATGTGCTTAGAGAACATACGATAAAACTAACCATCCCGGAACTTAGTCAAGTGTTTACCATTCAAACGGAAAGTGCTGTATTCACGTACAAATCTAACGAAATGAGTATCCAGTTATCAAACGTTGTTACTTAATTAACTCTTGACTAACGTCTACGGCTTATGCTCAAAATTAATGACTTAGATGTCCCAGCTTGAACTGCATGATTTTGTTGAGCATTTGGCTTTATTGCTTACTAAATAAATGAGTTCACTTCATAATACCCTTGAAATGACATCGAAGCAAGACCCTTATGTGTAGGATGAGTTGGTTTCACAACCATAGTGGGAAGATGGAAGGTTATTTAATTTACAGAAGTGTTGGTAACAGGATCAAAATGTCGCCAAGATTGAATGAAGCAAGTCATGATCAGTTTTAATCGAGTTCTCTTTCCCTACCTATTTCAGGTTGATTGACATGTTATCAGACACAGATTCCGAACCTGCAGTGATATTATTGGAAAAATGTTTGGGAAGTGGACCCGATAAATGTAATGATGTTTTGTTCACCGGTGGTCCTGAGGAGCCTTCCGCCAATGTTGTCTTTTTTGGAGGTGATGTTCAGGTGGGTGCCTTTGAACCAGTGATTTGCCATTCATCAAGAACTTGAGTTAATAAATGGAATACGTACCAACCATCTAAGTTACGCCGCTTGAACTCGACCACTCATTGTGCAGTTCTAATGTAATGCAGGGGTTTTCTTCGCGAGTAATTCGACGGTCAAGAGGTGAACCAAGCACTCACTTAAATTTGAAGCAAAGGATGAATACAGTCATTAAATGTGTCGAATTACGGCTGTTGTACAAACGACTAGGAGAACGTAGGCGAAGTTCATACTACAGGGTGGATGGCTACTGCACATAGAACTCATATAATAACTCTCGATTTGCCCATTTTCCAACTCTAGCTATTAGCCCTAGCTTTTCATGGCTTCCATCTTCAGGGACTAAGAGTTCTTTACAGCAGAACAATTTTTGGTACGGTATATGCAATCTTAGAAGTCGCAATACTTGTTCATCTAGAACTTATCAAGAGCCTATAAATAAAGCATCACTGCAGTTACGCAAATCATGAAACGCGAAATGAGGATATGTGTGAAAAGCAGTATATGAAACTACAAGGCTGATTGAAACTCAGAGGAAGGCCTGTTTGAATATCCGGAACTGAGCACAATGGACCATAGATAAACGCCTCACATTATACTTTACTGATAAGCAAATACGTGTGATCATGGGTTTGGTATGGCAAATTAGTCATGTAAACTGAAATTTCTTCGTAATCACCAATTATATATATATATATATATATATACTACGTAGTCAGTAAACCACAGAATGCTGCAAAATCGTGTGTGTGTGTTAGTGTGTGTGACAAAGGAATGGAACTCTTTTCAACTCGATTTCTGTTGCTACCGATTAAAATCATATCCAGTCCTGCTCACACAGCAAATCAAAGAAAATGGATAACAGGTTAAATGTCATAAAAAATTTAATCCATATGGGCGCTTTCAAGTATGCAAACCAGATAACTGGCCTTCACTGGTTCAACAGAAAATGCAAATTTATGTTTCAAGAAAAGGGTTGATGCGGTTTGAAAAACATTCTGCATGTTGCAGTTGAATGCATGAAGTACTAATCAACAGAAAGTAATTTCTGCTGGTTGTTGGGGGCAAACTATGCTACGAACAACATCCAAGTATCGATTCTTCAGTGAACCTGAATTTTTAGCTTTTGAGACACATTTGCTTTCTTTTTTTGTTCCATTTTGGGCATCGGTTGTTCTGCGCTCAGCGTACTTGCGATAACCCAGGTCTGCACCACAGCCCATTTTGTACCGCTACCCATACCAACTTTAGTCCGTGAACGGGATTGATTTATCGTCTGTTTGACCGTGTCTGCCTCGTGCTTGACACCATTTCAAGACAATTGCACACACGCGCCTGTGATTTCGCGCGTGTTGTTGACATTAGCTAGATCGATAATGTTTGCCATTTAGGCGTGCTTCTAAGCTGGCTGGTCTGCAGACCCCAGTCGTCACCAGTTTTGTTTGACTTCATTCACGGTCTGCTTGAAATGTTCGAATCATACGCATTTAAGTGCAAGGGTTCATTCGCATACAGCAGTGAGTACACCATTCATAACGCAATGTAGGCGAACATATTTTTTCAAGCCTTCACAATCACATTTATGCGAAACAATTTCAATATGGTCAAACCGAAAGGTGGATGAGTCATGTGTGTTTAGTAATGCACCCGAGAGAACTCCAAATTGGTATACTATTTGGAATACACAACCAAAATTCACTATGTTACGTCATGGGTCTATGAGAAGGCGATTTTCACTTCCCTTAGCCAGGGGAGTTTGAGAGTTTTGATCAGTTTTCGTTGTGAGCACAGCTCACGCTTCAAGAGTCGGATGCTACTCGCCTCTACGGTTGCTAATATCCGAAACCGTACTGCTCTCGAGGGGTGTGGTGAGACCCGATAAATGATTGTAAGTGCCGAGTGCATGTCAACCATGTGTCCCGTCTCCACCAGATGAGCAACGATCGCGGGGATTGTGTTCTTTGATCCGGTAATGCAACTGCCTTGCCGTTCGATCTACATAAATCTCATCACAGGTGCACTTAAATTAATAGACAATCATAGATGAGATGAACAAAGGCAGCTTATCTTTGTTGTAGCACAGACTCGCAGCCATCAATGTACCGGCCCATTTTTTCTGCGCTCAGAGCTCCACTGTCACCTCGCTTCTATTCATATTCCCTTATTGGTTATTTTCATCTCCATTTATTGCTTTGTTGTACACAGTCCGAGTTTTTTCATCCCTTCATGTACTTCTGATGAAGACCCACTGAGGAATTTGCAACTTAATCATTGAGTTCCTTACTGGGTGCTTTTTGCCTGAAAAAATGTCAGTTTATTGACTGATCGCGGTCGAATTCTATATCGAGGAGATAATCGGGAATGTGCGACTGNGACTGGCCGAAGAGTTCATTGAAATTTCCAGTTTTCCCGTCGCGATTTTGTTGTTTTCGGCCGAGATTATCATCGAGCCTGGTCCCACGATACGTATCCCAACGATCCCAGTTGAAAGACAGCTGAAAAGTGCGAGCCTCTTTTGGTAGTGCCAGCCAAACGTGGATTGAGTAAGGAAGAAACGTGTAGTATATATGGGATTGATCACAGTCTATAGCTTTTCATCTTTAAGTGAACCCGTTGTAACCTCAAGGTAATCCGCCATAATATCAAGTGAATCTGTTTTAACTTCAGGTGAATCCGCTGTAACTTCAAATGAATCCAACTAATCGCATTCCACTGGAAACCCCACAACGTTGTTAGTTCTTCTCCCGTCAAACGTCACCGATTGGACTGGGTCTATCTATATCCCGTCCAGTTCTGCCGAACTAATTTTCCCCTAAAAAAAAAATACGTTTTGCGTGGGTTACTGAGCGAAAATGAATGTTTTTGTGGGGTGGGATTTTGCTGTTCGTTCCCCTACCATTCCTCGGAAACCTTGACTTTGATCATTGATCGGGTGAGCTTTAGGCGAGGATAATCGAACCCGGCGCTAATTGACCTCGGTCGGTCGGGTAAGGAAGTGAATCACGTCAAGGTTAATCGATAAATCGGTTACCATGCTCAGGTATGAATGTGAGCATGATTCATCGCATGAACGAGTTCAACACAGGCCCTAAATACCCTAGTGAGTAAATTCCACTGAGGCCGAGATTCGGTCAAATAACACCCATTCTTTTTCATCAAATGTAATAGCCTACGTATTTCCAATTTCGAAAGGCACGCTTGACAAGATACTTAGCAGTGATACTCGAATCGAGTGAGAGTTAGCAGTATTTAACCGGAATAGCATAATCAAATTTGAAATCATTCACTAGCTAACAGGAATCATATTTTTTCTGTCTAACTCCCGGGATCACCATTACATTTTGTCCATAACGTTAATAGCAGCAGTCTACCGTCTGCAGCTTCTCCCTTTGCTCCTCAGCTTTGTCGCATAAGTTGCTATTCTTATTGTAGCATTGATCAACCGGTTGCATCTTTTCACAACCTGATTACATCTGTGCGATCCTTATAGTGTAGTGAATGAGACAACCGATGATAACTCTGTACCGGGTGCTCCGTGGGGTATTAAATAGAGGTATGTAAAGTATTCTACGCATAGTTGTCCTAGTATTTATCGGCGAGTTTCTTATATGTGAGGAGTTGCCGCCAATGACGAATTCATAATAATCCAGGAACTGTCGCAAAGTGGCATCTACGATTTCGAATAAGAGAAAAGGTTAATTGGCACCGCGGATGCCACTTTGCAACATATTTCCCGGATGGGTGATACCACGAAAGACTGTGTAAACGACCTATCCATCATAAAGGTGGAAAACAGTGACCTTGGTTCTTCTCTGAACAGCTGATCTGAGCGATTGACGACACAACTCTTTTCATATTATTATTCAACTCCTCCGTGGTCTATGGCATATTTCGGAACATATTTAATCCACTCTGAACCAATCCGGTTTGTTGAAACTCTGCATTTTTCACAAATGAACCGTACCGAATCTGTTTTATCATCGTTCTTCAAGTCCGTCTTGCAGTGACTGACAACTATGAGTCGTTATTAATGAACAGCAAACGGTCGGCCTTCCGCACCAAATACACACGATTCAAGAAGTGTGTGAATTAACCTGAGTTGTGATCACCCATTGCCATTTGACACAGTTTCATCGACTAAAGGTGTAAATGAATTGCAGCCGAGATTTCTTTTCAACAGTATGTTTTCGGCTTAGTGAATCACTTGGTGTGGTACGGAGGGATCATTAGGTATTATGTCATATAAGCTACTGAACGGTAACAGCGGCTAAGGATTTTGTTTTAATGTTTCAGATTTATTTTCAATTCATTTCCAGTTATGCATCCCGGATATTATGCTATATTTCACTAACCGCTTTGAAAATGTGTAAGCAACTTTTCAACCATGGGAGAGAGCCCACTGGCTAACTGAGTAGTGAAGTAAGATGGTTAACACCGAAATGAAGCTTCACATACTGAGGTTTATTGAAATTTTGTGTGACAATAGGCCGTGTAATTTCCTTGTGTAACCACACAAGGAAGTGAACATCTTTAGATTTGCTCCATATTCTACAGCGTTGAATCCGATAGAAGTGATATCGGGCATCACAAAACGTTCCATCAAAACGGAGCACCGAAATTAGCGTGCCAAGATCATGGTGGATGATCCTAAAAGATGAATGAACCAACAGGATTGGAGCATGGCATGTTTGAAAATAATTGGTAATGATGCTAAGTCTCACGTAGCGAAGGATCATTTTCAGCATGCATCTAATCATGTTCGTGCACATTATCAGTCAGCTATCAAAATGCTTGATTTTTAATACAATTGATGGTTAAAATTACTTGTTCCAATCACTGAGTGGTTTTGAGACTGAGGGTTATAAGTCACAAAGTTTTGACATTCTTAACCTTAATATACCGGGTACTTGAAACATTTCATAGAATTTAGAGAACATTTACAATTGATTGATTTTGCGATTTATGTTTGTGGATAATTACATTCAGAAACAACCCCTCAATAGAAAGTGTTTTCCAAGGCACGTGGTGATTTATTGCAAATCAAGGTAGGCAGTTCTTGCAGTGCTAAAACCAGACGTTCATGTAAGACCAGTAGACTAGATAGAACAGGTTGGCTTTTTGCTTCTCGTTGGGGTGTTAATGGTGCTAACTACCAAACAAGGGATCTATTCCGGTTTAGTCTAAATGATCACCAATATTTAGGTTGTTTATTTTTATTGCGAACAGATGAGGAGTCATCTTTAATCTGTGTGGTGAGTGATTTGAGGGGAAAAGCTAATCGCGATAGTCACCCCGTCGGCTTCCTATAAAGCGAGCACAGAATATGATGGCATGGCCGGATCAGTTATGCTGACGCTAATTGCAAGTCACTTGGTATCAGAGCGTCTACAATTTACCTTGTATGCACAATACAGTAGTTAGTCTGGGTTTCACCGAAGGAAACCTAATTTATGTCAATCCGTCACTAAGCGGACACTGTTAGTCACTGCTATTTCTTACTTCATATTCAACAGTAACTGTTAAGCTTTTGTGCCTTTGAATGCTAAAAATTAAGCCATTACATTCGTTTTCGAAAAGTGCTAAAGTCCTAGGGAAACCTAGCCCCAATGGAATTCTAATTACTATGTTGAACCAGCCCATGACCATATTCACACTTGGTTGTAGCCGTCGCATTATCGATCCAACTTGTCACGGAACACTTGTCTATGAGACCGATCGGGGTCAATTAAAGTCGGGTTATTTCATTCCCGTCTATGAAGCTCACTTGATCAATGCTCAAGCGTGTACGGTTTCCCGGGCAGAGGAAGAGGACGGGTGAGCGATCAGACCCCACCACACCCCGCCGAAACTTTCATTCGCGCCCGGTATGTCACTCAAAAAGTATTTTTGTTTGTTTGCGGAGAAATTAATGCAGTCGAACTGAACGGGATTTAGAAAAACCCGGTCTAATTGATGACGTTTGACGGGAGGAAAACCGATAACTTCGTGAGGTTCCCAGTGAAATGCAATTGGTTGGATTAGCTTGAAGTGGAAAAGGGATAGTTTTTCTTTGACTTTCAAAGTCTAGAGCCTACACTGTGTATGTTCCGGTAACTTTGCGGGACAAGAGTGAGCGATGCCTACGTTAAACATTACTCTACCCCCCTTGTTCATATTGAACTACTCACTGAGAGTACCATATACATGCATTCCTTTGTACGCAATCAGACAACACACGACGTGAATGCGTTAAAATCCTGACCGGACGTGCGTGCAAGTCGCGTTAGGAATCCGCGTTGCGGAATTCGGGATTGGTCGCATCACTGGGTATTGACACAGAGTGATATTGCTGAATATCGTAAACACTGTTGCTCGAGTATTCAATGGATCTCTTCGCAAATGTATTTTGACTAAATTCTGTATCTGCACCCTGGTTCTGCTTCCGGCTCTCTACCCCCTCATCCCAGGGGAAGTCGAAACACAGCTAGCCAAACTGCTGCGAAAAATTACTGTATTCTGACGCTGGTTTTCCGAAAGAAAATCCAATCCCTATGGTGTTAAAAAACTCTAGGCCTCCACAAGCTTCGAACAATTTTGTTTAAAGATGGAGGAATGAAGCGCGAGTTTTATTTCCCAAGGTTTTCTACATTGAACGGGTTCCCTTCTCTTAGGGAGAATAAATAATCCTTAGGAGGGGCATAAGCCAAACACGATAGTATCAAAACCCTTAGAGTCCCGTTATTCTTCTTTCGTGATGAACCACTACTTAGATATTTTTGTCCATGGTGGATGCTAATGGAATGACCGATGACGAATGCTAATCTGTAACTACATAATGGAGCTCTGTTACAAGAACGGGCGCTGTCAGTAAAATCTAGGGAATGGGAGTGATTTTTTGATACACGCAACAGAGAATTTGGCTGCTAATTCAGTATTAGCACTATGGGTTCTGGAATTCTGATTGCTGTTAGTTGCGATTAATTTTCGTGGGTGCCCGGTTGATGCGTTTTCTAAAATGTTCTTTATTTATTATTTATTTTCATCTTTTTAGAGTTCGGTTAACGTATATGTCCCGTGCTGATTGGATTTTCTACAAGGCTCTATTTTAACATTTTCCACAATTGTTGACTGACGTGGTTTTGCGGTTTAGTCATGAGGATTTGCATACAGTAGAGTAAAAATGAGCTCACTTTGATGGACTCTGGTACCTGTGGACGAACGGAAGTTTCATTGGACGCATTAAGAATCATGGTAAGAATGATTGCCACAGCGCATATATAGAACTTTCTATTGCAACTACTAATGAGTAGCCAAATACAACATTATAAAAATGTGAAGATGCAATTCCCAATTTATTCACCAAAGAAGTCAAACCGTGGTTGAACATAATTATCGATTCAAGTTTCCTCAGCTGTCGTCTATAATCCTAGTGAATTACTTAATTAGGTTCGATAGCACTAAAGGTAAAGTTGTTATCTAGAGGAACTGTAATGCCGAAGTTTTGCTCTTTTGGTAGAAATACTCGGTCCTGGATATTCTAATAAGGCAGAAATACCACAAACTGAATAATTTGCCTGTCTGATTATTTTTGACAAACTACGTGATAACCGTTAAGTTTCTCATACTCATTTCCATCTTTTACCGTGCAATCTCATTCTTAGGATTTAAAAGCAGCAATGGCGAAGCATCCGGAGAGTAGAGAATACATCCAATGGAACTTAGAATCTACCGCTCAGCTGCTCTTTAGGCGGTTTAGTTCACAATCCCGATGGTGCAATCCACACATCTGGGTCATTCGCCCCTCCTACTGGGTTCTAGAAATTTTCGCATGCTATAACCATTTTCTTCCATTCGATGAGCAGACAGTGCCACAAATCGGCCATGAATTGAACAAATTCGGCGCGCTGGAACAACTGAATGCCATATTACGAAGTGCAGTGACACGTGTGCGTTATGTTCGACCTCGCTGCTTGGCGCATCTTCATGTTCCACTCTGTCTGGTCGGGTTTAGCAAAGGATGCTCTGTTCTCATGCAACTACTGTATGAGTTAGCTCATTGTGCTCAGTTCAGCAAAAGCTCCTCTCAGAATCCCGCGTCATCCAACCCGACTCGGTCCACACAAGAGTTAATATCCAAGCTGGATTCCATGTACTGGTTAGATGGTGGCCATTCCGGAAAGGATGCACAATGGCCCACTGAAACGACAATACTATCTCGTCTAGATCCATGTAGATCTCCAAAGATGTTTATTCATGGAACACCCTATCAAGTAAGTTAATCAAACGAAAGATGTATCCCGTTTCTTATCTTGCAGATTTTATGGTGCGTTTAGTGAATCTTTTGAAGAACAGCTAGAAGCCTATTTAAAGAGCTATTAGTTTTTGGGAGACGTGTTTGTCCAAGTGTCCCAATTTCCTTGATAAGTTATGGTGAAAATAGATTGATCTGACAAGTATGAATCATTTATCATCGTAAGTATTCATTGAAAGAAGATTCAAGATGGGCTAGACTGAAGTTTATTGAATTTTTAAGGGAGCTAGTTCATTCGGACAGTTTGCAACCGGGTTTTGTTCGTGTCCCGTCTTTCTGGTTATCTTTGACAATGTTTGCTTAATGAAAAAGCCTTTTGATTGCGTGAAACAGCTAGGTTTATGCTTTTTGATGCTCGTTAGATTCCTCACACCCGACTACATGTAGTACATGTTACTTGTGGTACCCCACAAAGCAAAATTGGGAACTCTGATTGCAAAACTACTCATTTATTGACGCCTATTTAGACGGATTACCTGAGGTTCACAGCGCAAAACCGTCAGCACCCAAAATGTAATTTGTTTTGTCTCTAGGTCGGGGAGATGCGGAGGCCATCTTGATCGCCGTTACGGACAACTATTGGAAGCTCGAGCATCAATGACA